CAGCAGGCTTTGCAGTCTGCTTCTAGAGCCAGGAGATGCTTCACCACAGACATCAGAAGCTTCACGGATCACTTCTCTTCTACCTGAAGCCTTTGAACATCTCACACAAGGGTTCTCACAGCTTTAATCATGAGCTTGACCACGGTTCCAAATTCTGCTCTCACCATATTGGGGCTGGTGCATGCAGAGAGCAGCACCTCAGGTAGTTAACTCACCCCTTCCTGCCCTCTAGCCAGCCATGACTGAGCTCACAGCTGGAGCCTTAACAAGCCCTTCAGCACAGAAAAGTTGAAGCTTCAGCCAAACTCTTGCTTTTCTGAGCTAGCTCTGGGAGCCAGGGAGCAGCCAGGCTCTTGCAGCACCAGGACCCCCTTGGCCACTTACCTTTCCCAAACTCATATCCCATCTGAACAAGCAGTTTGGAGCCAATTCCACGAGTGTGGGCTTCCCAGCCACCAAAAGAGGAACTGCAGGCAGGGGTCCACTCCCCGTTCTCTGGAACTCCTGAGTCTACCACTGTGGCACAGAAGAGAAGAATCAGTGAAGCACAGAAACAAAGCTGCTCTGCAAAACCTTCACCCAGGACAGCTGCATGGCATGAAACCCCCTCAGGAGGCAGTACAGGAGACCTCTCCCACCCCAGGATCATTCAGCTGCTCCTCCAGCCTGCCTCAGCTCCTACTGAGCTGTCACCTTGTATGAATGCTGCACAGTGAGTCACTTCACTGAGAGCTCTTGCTTGAGTTCAGGCACTGACCATCCCACAGTTCCAGGCAGGACCATCCAGAAGTCACTGTGCCTTGTTTCCTTCCCTCTAGGATGGTGACACAGACTGATGTAGACCATCAGAGTAAAATCTGGCAGAGGGGATGTGACACTTGTTCTGTGCCTCCAGCTCATGTCCCTGGAATGAGGCTCCTCCAGGCCACAACACTCCTTGTGTGTTATTAGCAGGCAACAGTCTTCATTAGGCTACAGGTAAAGAGCTCCAGGACAGCACTTTGTCCCTGTGACATCAACGTGGCAGTGGCACAGGGACAGTGTAATCTCAGAGAAGTCACTTGGGCTCTCTCCATGTCAGCTTTCAACAGAACAGAGCATGACTGCTCCTAGGAGCTCACTGGAGGGAGCACCCCCCACCCTGGGGGTCTCACACCCCTGTGTCACGTGGAGCACCCAGAGATGGGGACATCTGATTCACTTATCACCTCAACCCAGCCAGACTCAGAGCTTGGAACTCAGCCCTGAGCCACCCCACCCTCCTCTTTCCTGTGTTGGAAGTTCTCATGGAAACCTCCAGCTTTCATTAAGTGCCCATTTGCATAAAACACAGATTTTAGCTTGCAAACAAGAGCTAATTACCACTCGCTATCTTTCCAAAATCAGCTCCAGCTTCCTCAGAGGTGAGAGGTTTACAGTGAAAGCCCCAGGAGAGCCCCAGCAGGCCCCAGAGAACAGCCAGCCCTGATGCCAGCTGGGCTTTGCCCAGGCTGTGCCCTCTCCCCTACCTTTGGCATAGCCAGACTCGTCAGCACTGTCCTCAGAGGACTCCTCGGCGCCGCCCTGGCTCCGCAGGGGGGGGATGATGCTGTCCCCCTCCACCACAGCCTCCTTCAGCAGCAGGGACTCAAACCTCACCGTGTAGTAACCACTGTCGATGTCTGTGGAAGGAAAAGCCAGGACACGACCTCATTAATCCTTTAATTCATTCAAGGCCACGAGCTCCAGTCATCCTCCAGCACGCCGCTGGCAGAGGGCTCCCTAACACAAGGCAGAGGTGGGAGGCCCAAGGTAGGTGTGTTTTCAAAAGTTCTGCTTTCTTTTTGTGCTTTAGATCTCTGGCTGGGAGGGGGAAGCCATGAACAGCCATTCCCACACTGCCCATGCTGCTACTTAAAGCTTTATTTTTAAAAATGAAGCAGTAATTCCTGCTCTCCTGCCTCCCTTTTGTCGAACGCTCTCCTCTTCCTCAGCCCAACAAGATCCAGGCTGCTCTCTCAGTGACAAGACTCTCCACCAAGGGCTGCAGCTCCATAGTTAACGTTTTCCAGCATCACCCAAACCTGCCAGGTCTTCTGTTGGCACCAGCAGCCCCAGGCAGCCTCACCAGTGATCCTGGCCGTGTACCAGATGCCGTCGTGGTGCTTGGCCAGGCAGGCAGAGCCCACCTCCAACGTGCTGAGATCTGGCTCCTGGAACGGCTGCAGCTCCTCCACAGACACCACCTGGCCGTGGGAAAACCTGCCAGAAGGGAAGGGAAGGGGGAGAGGAGTCACCTCCACCTCATCCCAGCAGGCTCCCAGTAAAAACTCCCTCCCTCCTCAAGGGGGACACCAACGAGTTGCCAGCGGTGATCAATCCCCCCCCAGTAATCACAGAATTCTCACCCTCTGCTAGCTCAACGACACAGATTACCCTTTTTCACATAACAAAGAACACATCCCACCCCAGAGCACTGAGCTCTCCCTGCTAGGAGGCTGGGGCTTCACCCCCAGTGAAGAATTCACAGGTCCCTGCAGATAAAGGGGATCAGAGAGACCTGTGGGTCTCCAGCACAAGCTCCTGCCCACAGGGCCTCAGCCCCTTACCTCCTGCAGGTCTCTGCCACCTCTCCGTGCAGCTGGAAGGTTCTTGGTTACAGCAGCCAAGCTCTGGGGGGTGATTTTCAAATGCCTGCTCAGTTATAAACTGAGCCACTCAACTAAACTCTCTGCAGCTTTCCCCAGGGATTGTCCCTTTCACCTCTGCCTGAGCAGATGGAACCAGCCACACAGATGCCACTGCTCACCACAACCCCTTTAACAACATCAACAAACACACAACATTCCACTGGCTAAAAAAGCCAAATTTGGCTCTTTCAGAGGGGGTTCATCCCTCTGAAGGAGGAGGCTGTCAGCTACAGGAAGGACACACGCCCCCTCCCAGCCCTTCCCCCTTTTTTTACCGGCAGTTCTCCTTAAATCTGCACTTGTCATCCAAGAAGAAGGGGCAGGGCTTCAGCGACTTGTGGGTGGGGTAGAGGTACAGCACCCTGACCCCTGCACTGCCGTCCTCCAGCTCCTCTGTCCCCACAATCATGGCGTTGTGGTACTCCAGGGTCCCCCAGGAACTGTAGTAGGGGGCTTTAACCTTCATCCCACTCAATTCCTCCTCCTCCTCCTCCTCTCTCTCAGACTCCTCCTCCTCTTCACTGGACTTTGGTTCATTTTTGCCATCGTTTTCTCCACCTCCCTTTGATGGCATCTCGTCGTTGTTAGTCGAGGGCTCCTCATCAGTTCCAAGCTCAGCGATGGCTTCCTTAAAAGCAGCATACTCCTCATCCTGGGCAGCTCCACCTGCCTTGGTGTCCTGCTCCAGGAGACCTCCTGGGAGGGAGGAGGAGGAGGCATTTGTATCCAAAGTAGCCAGAAGCTTGCTCTTTTTGACGGACACCAGGCTGGATTCGGTCAGTTCTATCAGCTGCTTTAAATCCTCCTGCAGCTGAATCAAGTCCGACTGCTGCGAGGGGTCCAGGCCCGCCCCTAAAGCCAGCTCCACCTGCTGCAGCTGGGCATTGTAGGTCTGAATCGCTGCTTCCAGATTCTCTTCATCCATTTTCAGCAAAATAAAAGGCAGAAACGCCTTAACTGCGCCCTTCCAGGGATCTCAGAACATACCGGGTTAAGACAAGCAGCGCCTTGGATAACACGCCCTTGCCTGCAGAAATCACCGTCTACCTCGGAGAGGAGCAGGGCGATGCTGCTGCAGCACACCGGCGGCGAAAGTCGACGGGAGAGGCCGAGGTG